CCTTCCATGGCCTCTCACAGTGCCAAGCCTCAGCTGCTCTTCATGACCCCTTCATGCCTTCAAAATCAGTTCCACTGGGTGATTCTTAAACCTTACAAAGTACAGCTGCAGCATGTGGTACAACCTTGGCTATCACTGGAACACAGCTTCTTTGTGCTCTTGGGAAACACTTCTCACCTCAGTGATGCTGGTCTTTTCTTAATCACAACTAATTTCTTACCTCCAGCTACCCAGCATCAATTGTCCCAGTAGTACCTTCTATTTTTCACTGTAAAGCCTGAGCCACACAACTGAAGCTGCCCTGTTCTGCTGTTTGCAGGAGCTGGAACATGGCTCCCTTTATTCTGTGACCAGCTTTCTGTTTCCCAGCTCCCTCTCTGCCCAAGCTTGGCTTTCCTTGAATTTGCTGTACAGATTGACCTTAACTACGAGATCTGCATGGCTCTGTCTCCTATAATGCTGGGATTAAAGGTGTCTACCAGCATGCCTGGATTTAAGTTTTTCTTCACCTTTGTCCCAGACTGGTCTTGAACTCAGAGATCTGTTTGTCTTTGTCTCCAGGGATTAAATGTGTATATCACCTTGCATGGATGTAAATCTACCTGGTTAGAATCTTGCCCCTTAATTGCTTAATCTGTTATCTTCTAGAACATAGAGTTAGGCTCCATTTCAGTTCCTGGTGCCACTTTAATACCTGAACCATATAGTTCATATTTTTCCTTTATTAGCTTGCTATGCTTATTCAAAATGTGCTTCACGAGACTTAACCACAGAACAAAGTCTCTGCGAGGCTTTTTTTGAGACTTCCTTTGTCAAGTAATTAATCTAACTCTCTTGACCTTAGCCTTAGCAGACTCTTCAGACATGGGCAGAATGTAGTCATATTCTTCACCAAAATACTACAAAAACAGCCTCTAGGCCACATATTGAAATTCTCCACTGAAACCTCTTGGGCCAGGTCCGCACAATTGAAATCCCTCTCAGTAACAAAGTCGTCCATGTTCCTACTAGGATGGCTCATTAAACCCCATTAAAAGTATTCCACTGCTTTCCAAATCCAAAGTCCCCAAATCCATATTCTTCCATACAAAAGCATGGCCAGGCCTATTAAAGTAATACCCCACTCCTGGTACCAACTTCTGCCTTAGTTAAGGTTTTACTGCTATGAACAGATGACCAAGCAACCAAGGCAACTCTTTTTTTTTTTTTTAAGATTTATTTATTTTATGTGTGTGAGTACACAGTTGCTGTCTTCAGACTCACCAGAAGAGAACATCGGATCCCATTACAGATGGTTGTGAGCCATCATGTGGTTGGTGGGAATTAAATTCAGGACCTCTAGAAGAACAGTCAGTGCGTTTAAGTGCTGAGCCATCTCTCCAGCCCCCAAGGCAGCTCTTATAAGGACAGCATTTAACTGGGACTGGCTTACAGGTTCAGAAGTCCAGTCCAGTATCATCAAGGCAGGAACACGGTGGCATGCAGGCAGGCATGGTGCAGGAAAAGCTGAGAGTTCTGCATTTTCACCTGGAGACAGCTAGGAGAATACTGGTTTCCAGGCAGCTAAGTTGAGGGTCTCAAAGCCCACACCTATAATGACACACCTAGTCCAACAAGGCCACACCTCCCAATAGTGACACTCTTGGGGCCAAGTACACACAAACCATCACACAAGTAAACTTTAGTATTATCTAAATACTACTTTAATCTCCCCTCCTTTTTCTGGCAACAATACACGTGGGTAGATGGATGTCAGATACTCAAAGGAAATAACACCAGCCACATTCTGCCCATCAGGGCCTCTGATACTAGCTACTTCCCTTCAGTTCTCCAGTCCACCCCTCCCTAACCCTCTTCTCAACTACCCAGTGAGCCTGGCCTTCTCCTCTTTCCTCAGATATAATTCTAGAGGGGGCTCCAAGCCTGGACAGTGTGTCAGGCGACAAGGCATAAAGGGCCATAGAAGTACATCTCAGGATGCAGACAGACACAGTGGTGTTTGGGCAGGAGAGCCAGAAGTCCAAGGTAACAACAATTTCACTCAAGAGGGTAGAAGTGTGAGCGTTGTTGGGAAGTTTCAGCACTGTCCCAAGGAGGTTCCACCTTAGTTGGGGGCAGGAGGCCTCAGTCAGTCTCCATTGCTAACTACAGGGGTGTTGGCAAGAGGCATAATCCACCCTCCCTTTTCTCTCCCTAGCCTCAGTCTCTAGAGATTGCATGTACAGAGGGGATTCTCTGGGGCCAGATCCCAATTGCACTTGGCTTGGCTCTGGAAGGTTCTGTTTTTAAGTGCTTGAAGGGGCCAAGGGATAATGAGAAACAGAGGCAGAAAGTGGGAGAGAGACCAGAGGCCAGTTTCTTGGAGGAGAGTGAGTGAGCTGGAGGGTCCCTGAGCCACGGGAGTGCAGGGACCAAAGAGAAATTCAGGAAAATTCAGGGAAATTCAGGAAAACGAAAACCAAAACAGTGTCGCTCCACTGACCTACAGTGAGTGATAGAGAAACACAGGAAAAAAAAAAACAGAGGGGCCCAAATGGGTGCCTTTGGAGATGGCAAAACACTGAAATGAGAAAACAGGGACTAGGAGAAAAGGCAAGGCTTGGAAAGTCTCTTAATATGACATAGAAAAAGGAGCCAGAAGTCAGGGAAGTCTCCAAGAAGCCACATGTTTCCCAGTAGCCAAGTTAGAGTGGACAGGTAACAGGACATGTGAGATGCACCTCACACTAACGCCAGAGCCTCCAAGGGCGACCTTCCTGTGTCACCAGACCAGACAGCGACCTAGCCACTACCTCACTACGCAACTTCCCTGAGCTCGGCTGCCATACACCTCTATTCCACCCTTAACAGTCATCATGCATTCATCTGTCCAGCCTGCTTTCTTGTAAGGGGACCAGATAGCCTCTCAGATCAAATCCCAGGTTCCTGAGCACACATCGGCGCTGGCTGATGCTGCCACCTGGCGGCCATACTCTGACCACCTGAGTCCTTCCATGAATCCCACCTGGCCTGCTCATCTCCTTGAGGGCTAATGGCTTTTTGGCCACAGTGGACAAAGTCCTTATCCTCGATTTTTCTTTATTCAGAAAGGAACGGTACCAGCATTCTCTCCCCACCAAGTTGTAAAAATGGAGGGGATGCTAATATCCCAGCACTGTGGGAACGCTGTGCCAAAGTTTTCCCTCTTCAGCTGGGGTCTTTTACTCCCCTCTTGGACACAATACAAAGGAATGACACCATTTATGTGACACACACACACCCCATTATCTATCTTGTGCCTTGGCCTGCATTTCCCACAATCTCTGCCTCCCTCCTTTTGCATGCCTCTCTTGTGTCTAGGTAAGTACAGTACCCCTCCAGTGTTGAGCTGATCTTTCAAATTTTATTTATTTATTTTGATTTTTTGAGACAGGGTTTCTCTGAGTAGCCTTGGTTGTCCTGGAACTCACTCTGTAGACCAGGCTGGCCTTGAACTCAAAGATCTGCCTGATTCTGCCTCCTAAGTTCTTGGATTAAAGCTGTGTATCACTACCAGTTGGCTTGTGTTTTAAATTTTTATTTTAAAGGGTATTTTATATCAGATGGTGGAGGCACACAGTCTTAATCCCAGTACTCTGGATGCAGAGGGAGGTGGATCTCTTGAGTTGAAGGCCAGCCTGGTCTACAGAGTGAGTTCCAAGACTGCCAGAGCTACACAGAGAAACATATCTTGAAAAACTAAAACAATAACAAAAGATATTTATTTACATTTATTCAATAACTCTCTCTCTCTTTCTATCTCCTTGCTCTCTCTCTCTCTCTCTCTCTCTCTCTCTCTCTCTCTCTCTCTCTTTACTTCTTTCTCTTTCTCCTCTTTCTCTGTGTGTTTGTGTGTGTTTGCAGGCAAGTGCACGCAGTTGAATGTCTCCTTCCACTATGTGAGTCCCAGAGATCAAATTCAGGTTTTCAAAGTTGGATGTGGTGGCAAACGCCTTTATCATTCTTTTCAGTAGACAGAGGCAGGAGGATGTATGTGAAGTGGAGGACAGCCTGGTCTATGTAGTGAGCACCAGGACAGCCAGGGCTATGTAGAGAGACCTCGCTTAAACAATAAAACCAACAAAGAAAACCAAACACAACACAGGTTATCAGGCTTTGGTAAGCACGTTTACCCACTGAATCACCCGGTTGGCCTTACTGGTTTGATTTGGTTTAGTTTTGTTTAAGATTTATTTATTTCATTTTATGTGTATGAGTATTTGTTGCATAGATGAATGTGCACAATGTGCATGCCTGATGCCCTCAGAGTTCAGAAGATGGAATCACCTAGAACTAGAGGTCAGATGCTTCAGAGCCATCTTGTATACAGAAGCCTGAAACTAAATCCTGGTCCAAGAACAACTGTTCTTAATCTCTGAGTCATCTCCCAGACTGTTGTGCCTCCTAACCCAAACAGGGTTTCTCTGTGTAGACTTGGCTGTCCTGGAACGCTCTTTGTAGACTAGGCTAGCCTCAGAGATCCACCTGCCTCTGTCTCCTGAGTGCTGAGTGCGGGAATTTAAAGGTTTGTGCTACCTCCAGCTGGCTTTTTGTTTGTTTGTTTAATTTAATTCTAGTAGGCCCAGATCTCACTAATTAAATCATACTAGCTTTGAACTCACAGAGCTCTGCCTTCTGTATCATGGGATTAAAGGTGTGTCACCACGCCCTGCTCTAACCACTATTTAAGCTCAGCCCAGCAGAGGGACTTCCAGACTGCTCCACTGCATCCAACTTACAGAGCTGGTAAATCAATGTCTTCCAACCTCTGAATTCCCAATTCCTCACACTCAAGCAAGGCCAGCTCCTCCCCACTTCTCTTCCCTCAGCTCCTGTTCAGCTTGAAGCCCTGGTCCTGAACAATTCCAGGGTGTAAACTCTGCACCTACCCTGAGGCTGGGCCCCATAGGTGGAGAGAAGTTGGAAAGGTCTTCCCTGTCACTCTGTCCTACACACAGAAGCTCAGTGGCCCCCTTGCCAGGATGCAGGACTCCAAGGTCCTGGTCATACTCACCTTGATCTTTGGCCTGCTTTCCAGTCTCCAAGGAGTAAGCACCAATGAGGTAAGCAAGACTTCTGTGACTTTTGGAGGACTCTATGGGGCAGAGGCTTTCCTAGGAGCCCAGTGCCCACCTTAACTTGTCAGGAATTCTCTTAACCACAGACAATAGGTAACTTCTTCCTTTCTGTTCTGTTTGGGGAAAGTGGAGAAAGGGACCTCAGAGTGAGGTCCTGGGGAAGGTTGGGCCCCTAGTCTTGGCAGGGTTGTGTTGCTATCTGGGAACTGGCCCCAACCACATCCCTGAATTGGGTGATTGACCCCTGTTTTAGTCTTGGCATGTCTTATTAAGCTCTCAGTCAGGCTGAGGAACCTCAGGTCTTGCTTGTCTGGGTTAAGGTCTTTCCTTCCCTGTTCCTCCATATCTGGTGACCTTGGGGTGTAGTTTGTTGAACCTCTATGGGACTTATCTCTTTGTGTTCCAGGGAGGTAGATGTTCTCACTTCTCTGATTGGTTCCAATTTGAGCTCAGGGTAGACCTGGCTGCCTGGGCTGGGTGTCGTCTTGCTGTGATCCCAGGGAGGCAGGATTTGAGCTCTTGTTCATATTCAAACTCTAAGTGTGTTGGGTTGGCAGGTTTTCCTGAGGTGGGCAGAACAAGCCTTTTGAACATAAAATCTTTTTGTTTGTTTGTTTTGTTTTTTGAGACAGAGTTTCCCTAGCCATGGCTATTTTAGAGATCTTTAGTCCAGGCTGGTCTCAACTCAGATTAAATTTACAATCTTGGTTGGTAATCTGCTATTGGGGGCGATGGTGGTGGTGGTGGTGGTAAGTGAAGTCCCAAGTCTGCTCCCCAGAAGAGTGTCCACTGTTTAGAACTCTAGTTCTCTATCCAAGGCCATGAATGAGTGAACCCAGGTTCAAGACACTTCCATGATGGGACCTCAGCATCTTTTCATGACCCATGTCTGTAGCCCCAAGTATAAGGAGTATCAGTCCACTGAATCAGATCTAATAAAATCATGTTTCCTAAAACTCAGGCTTCCAACCATCCTGATGAAATCATCTGGATAAGATGGGACAGGGAATGATCCTGGTTCAGTTTTTCACACCTGTCAACTGTTTTCTGTTTTTGTCACAGGGTCTCACTATAAAGATTATACTGACCTTGAATTCAACAGACATCTGCTTTGTACCTCAGCATTAGAATTAAAGGCTGGCGACACCATGCCTGGCCTAACCACTGCTCAAAGTTGCTTAAATATAATTAGTATAGGAGCCTAGTGGTGTTAACAGCTCACACTTTTAACCTGAGCACTCTGCGCTCTGAAGGCAGAGGCCGGAGGATCTGAGTTCTAGGAGAGTCCGGGATCCACAGAGAAATCCCTTCTTGAAAACAAATATGGTTCAAGACAAGAGTCAGATGTTTGGAAGAGTGGAAGAGTGGGAGAGAGAGAGAGAGAGAGAGAGAGAGAGAGAGAGAGAGAGAGAGAGTTAGTTTTGAGATTGGATCCTGGGCCCATTGTGTTTTAGGCTTACTGTACCCATCCTCACCACAGAGCGGAGCTACTGTGAGCATGGAGAGGGAAGGATCCCAGCTGTGACTCTCACCTGTCCTTTTGTCTTTTCTTTAGCAAAAGAAATGCTATTGTAAGGATCTTTAGCAAAGCCAAAAGCTGGCTTCCTTTTCTTTATTGGTTGAGAGAGGGTCTAGTTCTAACTGCTTTAGAAAGCCTGGAGTCAGAGATTAAAGACATGCATGCACCTCCACACCTGGCAATGGTTTTAAGTGAAGTAGCCAGAGAAGGCAATGCTTTGATACCTGGGGGAACAGAATTCTAATTAAGAGCTTAAAAAATAGTGCTGTCAACAAGATGGAATTCTGTATGGAGACCTTGGGTTCCTCAAAACACTGAAGGATTCAGTGCAGGGTGTTTCCAGCAGGGACCTGAGGCTCAATCGGACCTGAGTATGTTTAATGAGTCCCCAGAGTTGTCTCTACCTGTGACACTGGATCATGGGTGTGGGGGGCAGTGAGGGTTAGGTTGCTTTCTAGGAACTCTGAAGCTAAAGATCTACTAAAGGTACCTTCCTAGGCCAATCTCCAATTGTGTGTGTGTGTGTGTGTGTGTGTGTGTGTGTAAAGGAGCTAGGTGTAGTTAGTGGTCCACATCTTTAATCCAGAGATCTGGAGGCAGAGACAGGTAGAACTCCAAATTCCAGGCTAGCCAGGGCAAGCCAGTGAAAACCTTGCCTTGTCTCAATAGAAAAGGGTGAAGAGGCTTCCTTGGATTTTCATGATTTAATCCCAGCACTCCGGGAGGCAGACATCCAGTTGTTGACCCTGGACATGGTGGTTGAAGGGAGGGAGAATCTGAGATCAATTGTCTGGAACCATGTCTGATCAGAGACTAGCCTCCAGTTCTTTTTGAGACAGAGTTTCTTGTTCCCAATCTGGCCTCAAACTGGCTATGCAGCCTCCAATAGTTCTGCCTTCTCTTGTCTTGAGTTCTGCCATGATGGACATGCACCACTGGGTTACACACACATACCTGATGTATTGCCATGCTGGACAAACACTCTAACACCTGAGTCCCAACTCCCAGGCTTTGAGCTCTGATCTATGTCTTTTTTTTTTCTTCCACAGACTGTAAACACATGTGACATCCTGTAAGTATGGGACTTTGTCAATAATTGTCAGTAAAGTCAGGGGGTAGGTGTTGTGCTCAGATTCTGTCCTGGATAATGTGACAGACACCTAATTCATGTCTCCTTTGCTGAAACCATAGCCCCTCTCACCGAACCCAACCTTGGGATCTGCAGGTCTGTAACTGCTGCTAATCCCCAACCTTTCATAGCTGGGGAGGGAAGTCAAATGAGCAATGTCCCACTCCTGCCTCCCATGTAAGATCAGCATCCTGACCATTCTGCCTGAGGAACAATGGCATACTGCCCTGATGAACTCTGAACTCAGGTCTCAAGTCCAGACCCCTAATTCATCCCAGTGAACCTAGGATGGATCTGTACCCCACACCCACTAAGGGAGGCTGGCAACCTGAGGGTCTAAGTGTCTAGGAAAGCAGGGACCCTTTGGTTGGACACACTGATGCCATGAGTATCTCCCCATGCCTGTTTGTCCTTCTAGAAACTGCCCCAAAGGATTCAGATGCTGTGACAATGAATGCTGCCTGGAAAGAAAGGTCTGGGATCCTACAAATAACCCCTTCGGGTAAGCCAGGGTCACCACTTTTGGGCATCATTTACTGAGGTCAGGGTCCACCTAAAATAGGGTGGGTGTGGGTGATGGAGGAGGTATGGCAAGGGATCATGAGCTAGGCACTTATCACAAAACTGTCCCCCTCCTCCCTAGGATCGTGTTCATCATTATATTGGTCATGTTACCACTTATCTTGATCTGTGGCCTAGTGAGGCACTTCTGTCCCAAGTGCAGTGAACTACAACATGAGGTCAGAACAGTGGATCATCAGACACCTCCAGAACTGCCCTCCATTGCTCCCCTAGAGAGCATTTGGGTCACGTCCTTGGATCCCCCACCACCCTACAGTCAGGTGGGTCTTTCTGTCCCAATATCTAATGTGTTTCATAGCTGGCTGTCCACCATGGGGATTGGGGGGAGGGGAATAATGGATTGAGGAGGGCTCTGCGAGTCATATTTGTCATTGTTCACCCAGAACCTAAATAAAACAAGCACCCCTTTTCTCCTGAAGGTTGTTTTGATGCCAACTCCCACAGAACCACCTCCTCCCTACAGCCTCAGGCCTGAGGCTCCTTCTGTCCAGATGAGAGGACCTGGCTATGCAACGCTTTGAGCTACCTCACACACAAACCTCTTGGATCAAGCTGAGGACACTGGAAAGACTGCCTATCCTATCATTTTTATTTCTTTTGTCCTTTGATTTAATTTATTGTGTTTATATACTGCTGCCCTCTCCCCTTTTGTCATGAGAGCTGAGCTGGATCCATGGCCTCTGACCCACACAAAAGGCCAGTGAAACTTTTGAAGATTTGGGGGTGCCTGTAGTGGATGTAGAAAGATTATTGCTAGTGGACTGTCATGCTTGATAGGACAGCTCCCTCTGCCATCCTACAGAAGCTCTTCTGTTTCTGGAAGAGATTGAAGATTGAGCTGCACAGACTCTGAGTCATCTTCCAACCATACCTGGGCAGAGAGGACCTCACTGGACCTCTATAGCAATGCAAACAACACAGGCACTGAGTTTCAATGGCTGGCTGCTAAGTGCTGATGGAGACAGGTTCAGAGGCTAAGGAAACACTTGCAGCTTCTTCCAGTGGTGACTGACTGACTGACCCCTGCTGGGAGGACTGAGCATCCAAAAGGGGAATAAATGCTTAGATCTTCAGCTTCCTTGGATCTTGGGCACACCAAAGACATGAACTGGAAAGCCCCTGGGATCCTATTCTAGTCCTGCGACCAGCTTTCCTGGGAGACCAAACTTTGATGAAGCATGGGACTTTTATGGAAATCCAAGACACAAGACAGCTTTCTAGGAGAAGGTAGGGTGGGGAGAAAGCCTGGAGAAGCAGACATGGTTAGACTGCTGTGTGGAGTCAGGCCAGAGACCATTTCCTTCCACTTTCCTTTCCAGGAATCTCCTGTAGGGAGAGGAGAGGCAGACCCTGCCTTGCTCCTCCTTTTAAGCCTGGGTTCCAGGCTCTACAGCTCTTCCCCACCCAAAGTTAACTCTTGAATGAGGAAGGTTTTGTCCTGTGACTGAGGGACTGAGTACAACTTGGAGCTTGGACTGTGCAGGAGGTGGGGCATTGAAGACAGTTCCTGGTGCCAATGCCTTGGCACCTTACCCCTGTCTTTACTGTGTGTACTGCAGAGGACTGAAGGCCAACATTTCCCTTCAGACAGACAACACTACCAAATCTCAGTGCTTAGGTGTGCATGCAGGGCAGGTGTGGCTGTCCTGGACTCCCTCTGTAGAGCAGGCTGGCTTCAAACCCAGAGATTCTCAAGAGTACTCATCCCTGGGCTACCACAGAAGATGGCAGGACAGAGATTCCACCTAGATTTGGGCTCTGAGAGCTGGGCTTTTCCCTGTAGGAGGAGGTCACCTTGGCTCCCTTGCCACCTACCTGACAGTGACGATGGTTTAGGGCTTTTACTTCAGTGTCATGTCCTACAGAGACTGGATTTTCCGACCATCAGTGGATGAAATATTTTATTATAATTAAAATGTGCATCGGTGTTCTGTGAGGGGTAAACTAGAACTGGTGTACCAGGTAGCTATGAGCTGCCATGTGCATGTTGCAAATTGAACCCAGGTCCTGAAGAGCCACTTGTGTTTTTAACCACTGAACTATCTCTCCAGTCCCATGAGTGAGTTTATTCCCACTCACTGTAGTCACTATTGTGGGTGAGAGTCAGCTTTTCAGAGATTACCTATTCCTGCTGGTGATTCCTATTGTCCATTCCTATAAATGTCTATATTTATAAAGTCACTACTCTAGTCTTCCTGTCCTGGGAATCCAGGATGAGACCAGGTGCAGTGACACTTGTAAGGATAAGCCTGCAGAGAGGCCACACACTAAGCTCACAAAGATGCAGATGTGCTTCTTCTGGTGTACTTGACCATGGGGTGTGAAACAATGGTCCACCTCCATTCTCTATGGGAGCTTGTTCTGTCAGACAGGCACCCAC